GGATTACCAGTAACTGCAAAAATAATTGCACCAATTATTGGTGTGCACAATACACGGAGCCTTTTTGCACCCTGGTAATTCAGTCTAAAATATGTGTTGGGAAGGAGAGTATCATGTTTTGCAAGTCTAAAAACTTTTGTCTGGAAACTCCCAGAATTGAGCATTACCTATTCTAAGCACTCTGGTTCTAGAAACTGAAAAAAAAAACAACCTGGTCTTATGTATTACTTAAACTGTGGTGCTAAATCATCCTTCCTAGGCACTGAGAGAGGGCAGTGCAAGGATCAAAACATGGAAGAAAGTCAGTGCACTGAAGTGAAATAATAAGTACTAAAATATGTCAAAATATGTGCTATTGCTGCTTTAAAGCTTAAGCGGAGTTTTACCAGACCTGACCAGATGGTAGGGCTTTAAATATCTGCAGAGGCATTGTAGCTTGGTGAAGAAAAGACCATGACAAATGAATTCATCTTTGGTCTAAAGTTGGTTTTGTAACCTGAAAGAGTTATAATCATTCGAAGCCTATACAGACTTTAAAATTAAGTTTGATAAAAGTAAATCTAAAAATCGGGCAAAGTGTTTAATTGCTGACAGCTTTACCAAGTGTCTCCAACATTAAGCAATCCTGCTGTGATGGAAAAAACGTTGTCTGTGCACAGGATTTTCTGAGAGGAAGAGACTTCAGCTCCCAATTCTCCTGTTGTATCTTAATAGAAGGGCAGAATTGACTTGAAAAAAGCTATTTCTTACAAATTTGTAGTCTTTTTAAAATGAAGAGCCTTGCAGCGGAGTGTGTGGCTGGGAGGGCAGGGCTACCCGACTGTGCTCCTGATAGAACGCGGGATCCCTGCAGAGGATCTTGCTGCAAGATTTTTCTCAGATGCAGTTCACGTCCAGTTGAGTCACAAATGAAATTAAGCAATAAACGAGACTGTGATTCAAGTTTTCCTTTGCTTATCTTTTAAATCTATCTACAAAGGTGAATTAGAAAGTCCAGGTTTTGGTGCTCTTAGCATCAGGGAATGGAAATACGGATCTCTGTGTGGTCTGGAGTTTCTCGCAGACGTTATTAAAATCACGCTTGTGCTTAACATCTACAGATTGTGGCAGCTGCTTTTGCGCGGAGCTTACTCGCGCGTACAGGTGTGTTGCAGCGAAGCCCATCAGAAAACCTGATATGCGCTTTGTTAATGTAACGTGAATTTCTGCAGTTGCTCCTCACCAGCTTACGCATCGGGAAATACAATTTTTGAACGATTTTGGTGTTTTTAGGGCGGCCGTCCAGGAGCCCGGGCCGTGTCCGGTGCTGGGCGATGGTCTGAGGACACCTACTGGGCACAGCGCTCGCTTCACTCTGCTTTTAAACGCGGAAGAGTTTACACCTGGGTTTTTAGACTCTTGGTGTGTGGCTAGGGGAAGCATCGATATTTTGAACAGTGACTTGTGGAAATGTAAAGCAGCGCCTGAAGGAATAAATGCAAGATTTCTGATCGGACTCGTTGCTCTTCTTGGGCCCCTTGGCCCTTCCGTTCCCAGTTAGGCTGTAGGACAGTTAACTGATACCTTGGCCAGGGGTCTCAGAACTTTGCTAGTAAGTCACACTGGTTTTATTGCTAATGTTTCCTTTACTTTTACCTAAGAGTATGTTTGTTACAGCTCCTGCAGTTTCCAACTAGGTCAGTAAAGTGTCCTTGTCCCTGTTCTTCGAACAATCAGCTCCCTGAAGCCAGACAGTGTGATAGTAATTTTGTGATTAATGCTTCCAGCAATTATAAAGTGGAAGGCCTTAAATTACATTTGGTAACTAAGACCTGTACCTGAAACATGAAGTGACTTTGTCTTCCTTGTTGCAGATCCATAACATGGTGGCAGTGCTGGAAGTGATCTCCAGCCTGGAGAAATACCCCATTACCAAAGAGGCACTTGAGGTATGTCACCCTCTAACATTACTTGATTTTTTGGTGTATAAAAGGACTTTCTCTGCCTGTCTGATTTCCATAAGAACTTGTCTTGAAACAACAGATTGATTGCAAAGGATTCACAATTAAGATATTATTTTGTCCCTCTCGTGCTGCTTCTGACATCTCAGTGCACACACAGTGATTCCTTCTGGATTCAGACCGGTGTTCTGTGCAGCACAGTTCCTGGTTGTAGAGGGCAACAAATTAATCATTACTTGCTACTGATTAATTTTGTTGCATTCGGCAACATTGCTCTGCTTGCTGAAGTACCGCTCACCTCTTCAGGTGTTCGGTGTGCAAGCACCAAAGAATCTGAAATAGCAATATAGTTGCTCTGTGTCTATAAAATTAATCTTAAATTCAGTTAAGCGGTTTCAATGCCTGATCTAGTTGGTGAGATGAGTGTATTAAAAGCTGAAGTACCAGGTGGGATAGCAGCTGCGGCCTCACTGGCTGCTCGTAGAAACAGAGCCCAGAGAAGTTTTTATGGCTAAATTGTAAAACTTTTTTCACTCCTTATATTGAAATTATCGGTATTGCTTTTAACTGTTGCTTAACTATAACTCTGGCTGTATTTCAACATATGTATCACAACATGTTGCATATTTCTCTCTCAGTCTGGCCTGTGTTTTCCTTTGAAGTGCTTTTCCTAAGTAATCTGAGTTGTGGAACAATTCTTTGTTTTCAAACAATCAAACACTTCCTTCCGCTTACAAAACCGCTTTGGGACGCCCTAGGAATGCTTGTTTAAATCGGGCTTTCATACCCCTCCAAGATACTGGGGAGTGAAGGGAGAGGAGAGGAAGAAGGTAGGACCTAAGTCGCACCCTGGCCAGTCAGGTTTGTGAAATGGAGATTTTTATTGTCGAGGTGTTATAGTAAACAGGCGAAGATGCTGGAATTTTTTCTCTTGCCTCTTGCTGCAGGCCTTCTGCTTTCATTGTGATAATCACGCACCTTTTCTGCCTTGGGTGCTGCGTTTCCCCTCGAATCTGAGCTTGCGCCTTTATTCTCTGATTAAAGAACTCCTTTCTGACGTTTTTCGCAGCTGATGGCTCTGGTGCTTTAGCCAGGGAGCAAAGACAGGGTGACGTGAAACCTAGGGTAGGTTTCGTGTTGCGTGGCAGAGCACTGGACCAAAAGATCTAAAAAAAAAAAAATGTTTTACAAATCTTTAGTGGTTTTTAACTAGGTATTTCTTAGGGTAAGCATTACAAAGCAGAAACGTACCTTGAGAATTTTGTTTAGAATGATACCTGTTTGTAAAACAACTTTTCTTTCTTTATAGGAAACGAGACTTGGGAGGCTTATCAATGAGGTGAGGAAGAAGACATCCAATGAGGAACTTGCCAAACGTGCCAAGAAATTGTTGCGGAATTGGCAAAAGTTGATAGAACCCGTAACCCAGAATGAACCAGTGCCAAGAGGGTTGCCGAATCCGCCGGGATCGGCAAATGGTGGTGCTCACAACTGCAAACCAGAAGCGCAACTTCCTGCTGTGGCTGGATCAAAGCCGATCAGCGAATTGAAAAGCCGGAATGATATACAGAAATTGAATTCTCCAAAAACAGAGAAATTGGGAAATCGGAAACGGAAAGGTGAACACAGGGACGGGCATCAGGCCCCTCCTCCCCCAAAAGTCTCCAAAGCTAGTCATGAAGTATTACAAAACTCTTCACCCCCTCCAACAAATGGAATTGGAGGTAGTCCTGAAAATTTTCCGAGTCCTGCAGACGTAAACCTACATGCAGGGCCTGAAAGCAGCAGGACAGAACTCAGTGAAAATGATAAACACAATAAGATCCCAGTAAACGCTGTAAAACCTCACACCAGTTCTCCAGGACTCGTAAAACCTTCAAGCACTTCCTCCTTATTAAAGACTGCAGTGCTTCAGCAGCATGATAAATCGGAAGAAACCACAGGACCGCACCAACCTAAGAGTCCTCGCTGTTCCTCGTTTAGCCCCAGAAACGTTAGGCATGATACTTTTGCTCGGCAGCATACTACGTACTCACCAAAGGATTCAACGCCCAGTCCATCTCAAAGGTCTCAGTTCTTAGATACTGCACAGGTGCCGTCACCGCCACCATCCCTGATGCAACCATCCACACCTCCGATGCCAGCAAAAAGACTGGAGTTCTCTCAGCAATCAGTACCTGAGGCATCTCAGCACTGGCAGGAGCAGCAGGTACCTTCTGAAAGCCAGCACAGGCATACAGCAGGGACGCTGCAGCAGCACACGGCCCCCAGCTGCAAAACCAGCTCCCATCCTGGGGAATCTCTCACGCCACACATGGGCTTTTCACAGGACACTTCAAAAATGGACAGTGATGATGCTGCTTCAGGTTCCGATAGTAAAAAGAAGAAAAGGTACCGACCCAGAGACTATACAGTCAACTTGGATGGGCACGTGACAGAAGGGGGTGTGAAACCTGTGAGATTAAAAGAGAGAAAGCTCACTTTTGATCCCATGACAGGACAGATAAAACCTTTAACACAGAAAGATCCTTTGCAGGTAGAAATCCCTGCGCTTACAGAACAGCACAGGACAGAAACGGAAAAGCAGGAGCAAAAACCCAACCTGCAAAGCCCTTTTGAACAAACGAACTGGAAAGAATTATCCAGAAATGAAATCATTCAGTCCTATTTAAACAGACAGAGTAGCTTGCTGTCTTCATCAGGAGTACAGACTCCAGGAGCTCACTACTTCATGTCTGAATATTTAAAGCAGGAGGAAAGCACTAGAAAAGAGGCTAGAAAGACTCATGTTCTAGCTCCTAACAGCAAACCTACAGACTTGCCTGGGGTCACGAGGGAGGTCACAAGCGATGACCTCGACAGAATACGCGAACATAACTGGCCAGGCGTGAACGGTTGTTATGACACACAGGGTAACTGGTATGATTGGACACAGTGCATATCTTTAGATCCACACGGGGATGACGGTAGATTGAACATCCTGCCTTACGTCTGCCTAGACTGAGTACAGTTTTGCTAAAAATGCTTTTACATCTGCAGTTAGCAAAGAGGGCAGACGCTATGCCACTTAAAGACGGAGAAAGCCTCCTGTCCTGGACAAACAGGCCCAACGAGCAGAGGGTGTGAGGGAGCTGGTTCTTCACAGCTCTTTCCTTTAAATTCTCCTTTTGTGAAATGCTGCTACCAGTTTACTAACAATTGCAAAGGAAGGCATACGAAGGTTGATAAATTGAGTTCAAAACTCTATAGCGAGCCAGCTATAAAAAAGTGTTAGTCCCCAAGAAGTGAAGAGGATTTCCAGCACTTTCTGAATGCCGGAATCTTATTACAGGCAGGTACAGAGAGAATTGTGGAAGTTACCTTAACAAAATATGCATCTATTTATTTGACTTGATTTGGGTTTTTATTTGGCAGTGAGATATTCGAGAGACAATGTGCAAAAACTGTAGTTTTATTTGTATCACATCTCTGAACATGATCGCATTTTTTAAAGTCATGTGGTACGGAGATTGGGTTTTAAACGGCAGGTGTTGCACTGCAGGCTGGGAGACCAGCTTCAGCTCAACATTCCATAGGCATCCACATATTTTAGTCTGGTTTCAGTTTAAATCCAGTCTCTGAGAAATGCTGCAAAAACTAGATGTTTAACGATATTTTTGATCCCGCCACCACCAGCCAAATATTTTTCCTCCTTTTCCCTTCCTGCAAACTTCTAGGAAAAAAAAAAAAATAAAAGAAAAATCACCTTTTCTAGAATCTAAATGTAATGAGGGTGCTACAAGTTTGTAACTGTACTGTGAGAGGGAAAAAGGAAGCCTGTTTGTATGCTGGAAATATACTTGTTACCATTCCTTTAGATATTGTTTGCCTTATGGATATCCATCATAAACGCAATTTGCAAAAACAAAGAGCCTTAGTGAATGTACAGTAACTAGACTTCTGTGTTCTTGGGATGCAGAAGGGAGCAACTTTGCTATTTGGTCCTTTAAGTGGACACATTGTGATATAAATGTGGAAATAAAAAAAATTTGCACAAAACAGTTTGTGAATTATTTATACTTAACTCATTTTTTTTTCAAGTTTGCTCAGTTCAGACCAGCTAAGCGCTCATCGACACTGAGCATCCGTCGGAGCAGTGCGGTGAAGCTGAATCCCATCCGACACTGTCGCAAGCAGCTGGCTGTTAGGGATACACAAGATGTCTTCCAAGTACCTTGGTGGTATTCAGGCGCACAGGTTGGATTTTTTTTTTTTTTTTTTAAAAACTCTGGTTGCATCCAGGGTCTGGAGACTGATAACCCAATTGCTGTTAATGTACCTCAACGTCTGAAAAGATCGTAGTTCATCTTTTTTGCTCAGTAACTTTGTACTATGTTATTCCTAATTGTTGCAATGCTTTCTAAAGCAGCCTGGTTCAGTATAGAAAGCTACGGATTTCTATTAACTGTAATTGCTCTCACATTTGGGACTAGTTGTTTTCTGCAGTCCCCGGTGCTGGGCTTCTGTCCAGGGGAAGAGGGGAGGGGACGCTATACCAAAAATCTTTCTAGGTTTAGTGATGTTAACTCTGTTAACCCGTTTGTGCTGGATCTCGCTTCTACGGAGAAGAGCCTTGGCACGAGCTCTCCTGCCCTTGAGAGCGGAGTCAAGCTCTTACACAATTTGAAAAGGGTGTTCCTCGCCCGGTATACCTAAGGTTGGTTTATTCCCTGGGATACAACGGATAAGGTTTGGTTTATTTTTAAGTCATTCTTGTTCAAAGCTACTGCTTTTGTGATCTGACTCGTATCGAAAGGTGTGGGTGTCTCAGAATCTTAACTGATGTCTGTTTGCTTCCATTTCTGAAATCCGAGGTCTGCGAGTGAAACCAGAAAAAGTGGTTACCAAAAAATGTTTCCAAGTATATTTTCAGTTTACTTCCATTTTGTCCTCCTGCAGTTGATGAGATCAAGCCCTGCGTGTTAGAGTTGGGAAAGCTACCATCCTGCAGTTCAGAAAGGTAGATTGATGGTAGAGGGCTAAAAAGCTGGTCATTTTGGAAAATGCTTGGGTTTTGTTTATGTAAAAAAATATTGTGCATCTTCTGTCCCCCTGCCCCTTCTCCCTCTTTCCCCGAGTGGTCTTACCTAGGAACAGGGTCCGTGCTCTTTTGAGGCCTTTGAAAATAGGGCAAATTTCAGGAAACGACAAAAGCGTTACGTTACACGTTGTAAACCCCATCTTTTCTCCGCTGCGTACATTTCTGATGCAATCGATGGCCCTTGCGGACCACGCTCGGTGAGGCGATGCCCCAGGTTCATCCCTGCTTTCAAATGACATCCAGCTCTCGGTAGCAAACTGCCCGCGCTGACGCTCGCTTGGCTTGAGGGAGCGTCGGGTGTTGGAGCCAGCCCTTTCCCTAGCGGTACAAAATCGCCAGAGAAATTCTCTCACAATGCAAGCTTTCAATCTTGTTCCATGCCGAGTTTGTTTCTGCTGTAAGGGTCACCTCACTTGGATGTCATCCAGGGTGCGACGAGGCTTGACAATCTTCATTTCAGCATGCGAGTATAACCAGTTCTGTGAGCTCCAACAAATGTGAATAAGTTTACAAGGTGATATTTTTTTTTTGTCAATTTTGTAAACAAGTTCAAATGAAGTTTACCATGTGCGTATCTGCTGTGTACTCTCATTTTTGCATGAACTCAGTTTCTCCTGCTACTGGTTTCTCCTGCCTGCCTTACCAAATTTATTCTTCTAATCCCAAAATCTTAAATGAATGTACTGCCATCTCTTTCTTGTCACTGGATGACATGAAGTGGCTCATCTGCAAATCTTTTGGGAATCGCCATTACCTGCAGTGCATGTTTTTATAGGTACATTGATGATGTAGAAATGCCTTTTGACAGCCCGCGTGGATGAAGCAGGCTCTAGATCCCCCTCCTGCTTGACAGCTACTCGCCTATCTTTTCATGCAGCCAGCATTACATATTCCTTGAGTTAGTTTTAAAGGTCAGGAACAATTGTCTCACTGCCTCCGCGTACGTGACCTTTGCTCAGTCGCCGCACCGCCTGCCCTTTTGGTTTCCTGAGGCAGCCATCAAGGCCTGCCTCCCGTGCTGCAAAACCAGAGCAGGAAAGACTTTTTTTTTTTTTTTTTTTGGTGCGTCTCTTGTACGCCACGCTCTCTCCCGGGTTGCTTTACCCTCTCGGGCCGCCTCTGAGCCGAGGCTGAGGCACCGGCAGTCAGCAGTGCTGCGGGGGGCTCCTGCCCACCAAGTAACGGGCTTGAGCGCAGGGGGGGCCGGGCTCTGGGCCTTAACCTCCGCTCTGGAGGCGGGAGGCAGCCCCGGCCCCGCA